GGGTGGTCTGCACCCACAGCTGGCGTCGGGGACTCCCACACCAGTCAGCCAGGTTTGCATAACTGCCATCCACTTCTCATCACTCGATGAGCCACTCAAAAGGAATCTGATTGGTTTGAGCAGCATCCAATAGTCTTGGTCGGTACGTCTGTACTCAAATGAGCTCAGTCATGATTTTGAAATGTTACACCAGCACGTGTGAGTATTTTTTATTATTATTTTTTTTTATCGGAGCAAATCAAGAGTTAGGAAATTACATTTTCCTGATAATATCAAAAATCAAATTTCCTGCATATATTTTCCTAAGCTAGAGATTGACCACTGGAGAGATGGCAATCTGGCACAATATGGCCGCCCCTGCAAAGGTCGTTATTTCTGCGCGCTGTTCACAGAGACCGCGAGCAAACTGTGCTCCTGTGAATCCCTGCCGATGGGGGATGCTCTCGCCCCTTTGTGTCCCCCGTCAGCCGATCCCCTGCCGTACCCAGCTTCCCCACCTGTAAAAATACAGCTGTCAGTGCCTTTCCGCTTTCTCATACCGACTCACATGTTTATTCGCGAAATGAAGCTCCTCTGGATGAGGTGTGACCTCAGGAACGTCGGGCACCTCGGCTACCAGCATCAAGTTTTCTTTTTATTCCCGAACTTGACATGAAATGATGTTTCACACGTCACTGAGACGAGAGGCAGTCTGCACTCCACTTGGTGTCTTGCAGCCGGTAAAGGGTGGGGAGGGTCACTTATGAACTTGCTTTGTTTGATATAACCAAGGCACATCTGCACTACGTACCCGTCCATTCATCCATCCATCTATCCATACATTCAGTCATCTATCCATCCATCCTTCCATCCATTCATCCATCCATCCATCCTTACATTCAGTCATCCATCCATACATTCAGTCATTCATCCATCCAACCATTCAGTCATCTATCCATCCATCCCACCATTCAGTCATCTATCCATCCATCCAAACATTCAGTTATCTATCCATCCATCCATCCATCCATCCATCCAATCATCCAACCATTCAGTCACCTATCCATCCATCCATCATTCAGTCATCCATCCATCCACCCACCTATCAGTCTTCCTTAACCGGGCCTGACCCCTATCCTAGTAAACACCCCCTGGATGACCTGCCAGACAATGAACCCCATTGTGTAATCTAATTATTAATTTAAATCAAGGCGTGTAATGTTTTTGCCCATTTAATGAATTAATTAATCACTGGTTCTATCAAAGATTCTCTGATATTCACTTTAGGAATATTCAGGTAAAAGGAACTTAAGCTTCTGTGAGAAAATGTTCTTCAGAAGACCTGCTGAAGGTCAGAGAGATCTTCATCCATCCCTCCTCTTTGTACTCAGTAGGCTCTCAGGTGAGGGTGGCTGTAGACACCAGCCTCCACACCCCCAGTTGCCGCTTTCTACTGTACGATGCTCATATGTCATTTTTGGTCCATGTGCCAAAAATCTACAAAGAATCCTGTGACTAATGTTCTTCATGTGTCAGTTGATTTTTTTTTTTTATATATCAGGGAAACGATTGGGTTTTGGGTAATGATGAAATCCTGAATGTGTTAATCATCGAAAATGACATGTTAATAACGCTAAAATACTGCTGCCAGAGATAAAGTTCATTTTAATAAGGTGGTGGGCTTTGCTGTGATTTAACCGCAGTTTGGTTAACAGGCTAGTCGTGAATTGGGTTTAATCGGGTCTTTGGTGAGTTTGATACTCCCTGCTGTGTTTTTTATGGACGTGCGCGATTGAGGAGGTGAAGTCCCTCCTCGGGAAATGCAGAGGCTTCTCTGAGGGAGCCGGTGACATTTCAGCAAATGTTTACGGTGGCCAGCTGTGACCGGATGTCCGAGCGGCCGAGGTGCAGGGGGGCAGGAGCGGGAGGGGGGCCTGTCATTGAGCGGATGTGGATTAGGAAGCGTCGGGTCACATCCACGGTAAACCCCCCTACAGCCACCCAGCGGTGGAGGCTCCCCAAGCAGGATGTCGAGATGGCACAAGGCCGAGATGATAAGGGCCGGATATCGCGACTTCCATGATACTCGCTTAAGTAACTTCAGTGCTCATCTCACCCCGAGGCGCCGTTCTCGAATCTGGCTGACTGCAGATTTGCAGTTCGAAATCCCCCCGGGGGTAGCCGAAATGGGAAGGAACACACAAAAAAACCTCAGGAAACGAGCGATAACACCAAGCCAGACAGCCCAGTGGGCTGAAGGATCCTCCCTCCAGTGACGGGAAGGATGACAGCTCGTTTGTTTGTTTGTTACCGTGTGTGTGTTTGTGTTCTTTATAGAATAAGGATCAGGAGAGATTTTAGACTGGGAGGACATAACAAAAAACTTATCAGCTGGTAAAATCACTGGCTGTCCGTGTGACATTTAGGAGGTGATGCATTCAGTCGGCAGCATGTTATCATCATCATCACCATCATCACAGCAAAAGCTGGCTGGCTGCTGACGAAGTTCGACAAAGTTAAACATTTTGAATCTGTTATGCATACGAATTCCCGACGTACTCGGTGAGTCTGAGAGCATCCTCTTTGGTGCCAGGACTGTGCGGAGTTTAAAATTGAGGACAGCGCACAGAAGTTCACGTAACAGGCGAGGATCACAGGAACGTGCCGACAGCTTGTGTCTGGACTAGACGTCCAGCCAAAAAGGGACGTAAGTGGAAAAAAAAAATTGGCGAGATGAGGTCGAGCTGAACTGAAAAAAGCGTGTGTGCATGCATGCGTGCGTGTGTGTGGTCGGGTGATTTTATCAACAGCTATTTCAGCACATAGTCATAACTTGGCTGGATTTGCAGTTCATGGGGAATTTACCCGAAACTGCAGACTTATATAAAAACAAAGTCAAAGAACGCATCAAAACATTGCACGGTGCCTCTGCTGTCACTTCCAAATACACAGATAGCCTATAGCCTACAGAACATCACGTGAGTTCCATATAATATGTGCCTTGCAGAATTTCTAGTTACAGACGATATGAAAAACAGCGTTTAACATGTCGATTGCGGTTCCAAACGACGTCACTGGCGTTTTGTTCAGTGCGAGTAAATTTAATTACTACATTTTAATGTCCGATATTTATTTAATTTGGCTCTGCTGATTTAAAAAAGCAGGCTAAATTGCTATCCGTTCATCTGCCCATCCATCCATCTTCCACACCGCTTATCTATAGTGCAGGGTCACGGAGAATAAATGTAGCCTAGTCAGAAAAATTATTTCACATTAACTTGAAAATTTAACTCGATCGTATAGTTTATTGCTATAGCGTTATGACTGTAGCATGTCATATTTAAGTATTCATTGAAATACATCTGTCACGTGGTATATTTTTGCAGAAATGACAGGGGGCAGCTGAATTTCACCTGTGGTTTCAGATAAAATTTTTTCCCCGCAGAATTTGGGTCAGAAAACTTTGCGATTGTAAATAGGCTACATTTCTCAAAAATAACAAATTCGTCTTTATTGCAGGTAGCCTGGTTGGTGTTGTACCGCGTGTTATTAAGACCCACCGACTGGGAGTCTGCAGGTATCTTTTCTGCTGGAGATCAAGGGAAACAATATGAAACATATCAGAGGAGAGCACTTCAATGGAAAGCGAGCGGAGGGAATATTTCAGCTCGTCTGGAAACCTGAGGCATCTCATTTGAGTGGGGGGTTTGTGGTGCAGCTATAGACTGTAACAAAAGGAGGCGGATTCATTATCCTAGGAACCGTCCGTCTTTCATCAGGTATTCTGTGTCTAAGCCGCACAGTCCTCAGACTGGTCTTCATGGGTCTATAGCGACTTTCCAGGCATCAGGAAGACACGATTCAACTAGTTTAAGGATTTTATTTTTCTGCTGTGTTGGCTGAGCTTTAAAGATTCGTAATCTGTGGCGGGATGACTTTATCATACCAAAAGGCTGCTGTGCTTTCCTTTAGGGGATTGCATTGTTGGCTATTATTATTGGGCTTTTCTTACAATGATGTTTTATGATGAAGGTATTGGTCGAATAATATGAATGTGTTGTTATGGAAAGTTTTACCGGACTGTTCTGATGCTGCGTGGTGATTGTTGAGACCCAGATGAGATCTGAGGCCCACAGAATACCAGCATGCATGTAGTTGTAAGCAGGGCTGTCAGCTCCGCTTGTGAAGTTGCCTGATCCGGCCGCAGACCCGGCTTTCGTCTGGGCTGGAGAGGCGTGTGTTCTGCGTGTTTTACATGCCATCGGGTCCTTGCTCCTGCTCCCTGCCTTCCACGACATGAGTGAAAAATCTGAAGTATTCCGAGTAGAGAAACGCAGTTTGATTATGAAATCACAGAAAATGTCAAGCTAACGCTTCCCCTTCCGAGAAAGTGCTCTATTTTTGTTCTAATCAACAACAAAAAAAAATCCAAGAAATTAGAAGAAATTAAGGCTGAAAAACAAAAGCCCCACTGCATGCAAATTCAAGCAGGTCGCGCGTTTGCGTAACTGGTGCGCGGCTCGTTCCGCCGCCTTGACTGCAGCCGTATCGGTACTTTACTGACATTGAGCCCGATGAACTTAAAGGGTCATTAGCGACGGACAGGGAAATGAGGCTCTTTCATTTGCATTAGCCGAGAACTGCAGAGTAATTGAGGCGGCGCCTTTCAAGTTCACTGGGAGACACTCTCTTCGCTTCATTTAAGGACTGTTTATCTGGCTTCTTAATAAGGTTGTAAAAAAAACATTAATGGATATCGATTGCTTGCATTTTGGCGCTTTATCCCAAAGTAGAGTGTTTATGGCAACCTTGTAATGAGTTCTTCTGCACTGTCATTACGATTTATGAAGGAAGGTTTCAGGGGATTGTGAATAATGCAACTGTACCGCTGCATTTTGAAAAACTTTTAAGTGTTCCTGATGCTTTGTATGGCTGCTTAGGTGCTGGTGCTGATTATATACTGTCATAAGTAAATTTGAAGTATATTTCAGGTTATTAATGTCATTGTCCTGACAGGTCATTTTGACTTTTGTGTCACCCGAATTTCATTGTCTGCCGCATCAACCTTTCGGCCACATTTGTGTGTTTATCGGCAGGGTTTGTCAGAATCATCTTATGCAGTCGCACCAAATTATTCAACATTATTAGTCAGAGAAATCTAGGCTGGAAGGCATCCATTTTGGGTGGTATAAGCGTAAGCAGATATGAGTGATATGACCGCCTGAAGTTGTTTATCCGTCTCTGCCTTGAGAGCAGAACCGCAAATGCCTTAACACGAGTAGCCATAAATCGAGAGTTATTGTTGTTTTCACAGCTCATTTTACTGAAATATCTTATAATCAACACTCGTCTCGCTCGCGGTAAATGCAGATGCTTGCGTTTTTTTGCTTGTCCTAGAGTGAAAAGATGGAAAAACAAGTCATCCTTGCCGGGGACCGTGTTATTGAGACCGACTCCGCGGTGGCTTTTGCAGAAGCTGATTAAACGCATGCAGGCGATGGGGGCAATGCAGAGGGAGTCACTCCCAAGGTCCCCGGCCGAGGGGTGAAAGGGCCGCCCTCCGCTGCTCCTCTCCGCTTCGAGGGAAGGTCACGGCGTGCAAAGTAACGCAAGTTCTGTCCTTCCAGCGCTAGAGAAACAGGAGAGATGTGTGAGGTAGTGGGACTGGCTTCCTGTCAGATTCTCCTCTAATAACTTCTTTTAGACCTCTCACCTTCCTGTTTAAAACATGCGCGCTGTTTTGGGCTTGATAAGCGTACGTCTTGTATAAGAAAAAACAATCGAACTGAAAAGGAAATAAGGGATGGGGGAGCAATTATAAATGTAATTTTTCCCCAGACTACCCCTCCCCCCAGTGTAGTTTGACCATTTCAGCTAAGTTTGGTTGTTTTATACTATATTAGTGTCTTTGGGTACTGGCTCTCCTGTACTTCTCATTCCTGTTCAGTTCCTTCAAGGTTATCGGCTAGTGGGAAAGGTGTGTTGTGAATACAATCTGACTGGTGCCTTTGTCCCAGATCGCGGCTAAAAGCAACCCGAGGTAATGATGAAAATCGTGCCATTAAACATTAATCCTTGGCCGCTGGCTGTTCTTTAGCGAGCGTTTAATTGCTTTTGTAGCCAGGGCTGGTTTAACCGGTGCTGCAGATTCAACATGTCAGCCTGTCGACTGCTAAAAAAAAAGAAACACATTTCCAATTTGTCTGATAACCCGACCCAAAAGCACGATGCCGGTCTTGATGGGCTATATGTGGAAGTTGTGCAGCTCGGTGCATGTTCATCTCCGGTGAAATCTCATGACTCACAGAGCAGATGGGGACTCACGGCGATCCTCTGTATTGTCTGGCAGGAAGGTGGATTTAGGCAGAATTAATGGCGAGTCGGAATATCTCAGCGGTGCTTCGGACCGGCTCAGAGGGAGCGGCAGCTCATTCGGTTCCGGTCTGATGGTCCCAGCGGTAGTCACACTGGTCACCAGTCGTTTTTTTTTTTTTTTTTTTGTTCTTGGAGGGATAGAGGTCTGTAACACGCCCCAAAACACACGCCCAGGTTTTCCTGCATGTTGACCTTGTATTTTCCTGCGCCTTTAGTTGCAGTGCGCTGCGGTTAAACCATAAACGAGGTCTGATTTTTGGCACAGCAGTAGTACTCTGACCTCACGCATCCAGGGATGTGGGTTTGACTCCCACCCCCGCCCCGTGTGTCGTGTCTGTGGCCATGTGGGTCTCCTCTGAGTTCTCCTGGTTTCCTTCCACAGCTTGAAAGCCGTGTGGTTCAGGCGATGAACTGAACCCGCGATGAGCTGGCATCCTTCCCAGGGTCATACCCAGACTGATTCTGTAGGCTCAGCGTGACCCTTCATTGGATAAGCAGATAAATTATTTTGACCATAAATGGCAAAGGAGAATCACTACGCTCGTGAGAAGTGATGGTGAAGTCTGCTATGGCCACATATGGTTAATTAAGTAGCAATTCACTGACTCCGACTGCTCCTTCTGTTTGTGAGTTATCCACCACAATGGTGTATATTTCCCAGCAAATCTTTGTCTCCTCCATAAATCTCTCGGGTCCTTTGTCTCGTAGCCGCTGGGAATTTGAAAGCGCCACAGAGAAAGTGAAGCTAGGTTTTAGTCTGACAGTCTGCAATGAGTTCTGACATGTGGGTTAATACTTCATTCTTGCTCTTTGCCAGAGGAACGGCGAGTTTGCTTTCATGTTGATCAATTGTGTATTATTTTCACCTAAGTGACAATGATTTGTTTGTTTTTTATAGCAGATTGTGTTGAATCCTTCCATTTCCTTTGTAAAATTAAGATTTATGGGCTTCATACATAATAAATTAACATCACACTGCAGGAAAATGGGAATAACTAACCCCTTACTGATACGAGCCTGTCACCTATTTACAGTACAACCTGCAGTCTCATCCATCACTGCGATATGAGGCACATCCAGCCAGAATGGGGACGACACTGCGTCTCCATTTACATTCGCTTCTTGTCTCCAGCCCACGTTGCCATGGCGGCTACGCTAGGCTTCTGTGTCCGGAACAGTCTCCTTAAGCACCAGGTGGTCATTTCTCAGCGTGCGCGCTCGTCTGTCAGGACCGGAGCCACTAGCAAGCTGGGCGGCTCGTACAAGTGAGGAGTTTCAAGTGGTATTGTCACGTGTGTTCCGTGCGGCACAATGACGCCTGTGCGCCACAGTTGCGGGGGAGGGACGAGGTGCATCAAGGGATATGACAACCAGTACTGCGATACAAGACAAACACGAGTGTGAATTAAAGACGGGACAGTGCAATATAAGAACACGTGAACAATAAATATGGAATGAATAGGATGCAATGGGGATAAGGATGTGCAAATAAACACAGAAGAAGTAAAATACGGATGTAGTGCAGAAGTGTAATGTTATCTGTGTGCGATAACATGCAGCGGATGGGGAGATGCAGGCCGCCGATTATTTAGTGACAGGATGGCTTGGGCACAAAGGCTGTCCCCGAGCTGGATGGTGTGGGTGGTGATGCACCGACGGAGCTTACCAGAGGGCAGGGGTGTGAAGAGGCGGGGAGCTGGGAAGCCAGCGTCCCCGATGATGGGCTGGGCCCAGTCCTGGCAGCAGGAGGGGTAGGTGGGCTGCGGGTGAGGCGGATCTGTGCCAACCGCCTGGCTTGGGGGGGGATGTTGTCAGTGGTGAGTAGCGTCTTGTGCTCTTTCCCGCCTTGCGAGTCGGACACCAAGCCGCTGTCAGGCCTTCACTCTCCCTGAATGTGGAAATGTGAAATGAAGCTTTATTTGCCGTTTGTACGAGTACAGGTACATCGCAACATGTCAGTGTCTGCATGCCGTCTTGTTCTCCTTTTTAAAGACGTAAGACATACAGAGGGGAGAGTAAAAGCTTGGGGTCTGAGCAGAGGCTCAGCTATTTATCCGGTGACCCTGGGGCATTTTTTGGAGGGGGGGGGGGTTAAGGGCCTCGCTCAAGGGCCCAGTGGAAATGTGGCTCAGATTAAGGACCTTCCGATCACAGGCCTAGCCTGCTGAGCCACGCACCTCCCTCTGTCATGTCATAGTTGATAAAATGCAGGGAATATAGAAGAGGGATTTGTTACCTGGGTGGCGCTCGGCCAGTTTGGGGCCTTAGCGGGTGGGAGGCACAGAGGAGGTGGGAGGCACAGAGGAGGTGGGAGGCACAGAGGAGGTGGGAGGCACAGAGGGCAGGCTCCTGGATTTCCGCTGGAGGGTGGAACGGGGAAAGGGAAAGCGGTAATGCTGTGGATATCCTCGATAGTCCACGGAAATGGGGGAAAAAATAAAAATATTCCTGCAGTATCAGCAAGAATGGGGATGGTCTTTACAGTATTCCTGCAGGGATGGTAGTAAAATCAAGCAGGGATGGGGATAGATATCATAGATAGATAGATAGCACTGTGTGTTTGGTGACCTAGTTGAAGGTTTGCATAGTTTGTTGTGTGATTCTGAAATGCCACACCTGGGCATGTGTGTCTGCATGCATGTGCAAGTGTCTGCGTGTGTGCATGTGTGTCTATGTGTGTGTGCATGCATGTGTGTGTGTTTGCATGATTGTGTGTGCATGTTTGTTTGCATGATTGTGTGTGTGTGCATGCATGCATGTCTCCATGTGTGTGTGTTTGCATGATTGTGTGTGTGTGTGTGTGCATGCATGTCTCCATGTGTGTGTGTTTGCATGATTGTGTGTGTGTGTGTGTGTGCATGCATGTCTCCATGTGTGTTTGCATGATTGTGTGCATGTTTGTTTGCATGATTGTGTGTGTGTGTGTGCATGCATGTCTCCATGTGTGTGTGCAAGCATGTGCTTTGACAGCAATGCTGTCTGTTAATGGTACCAGGGATTATTAAGTAATACCAGCAGAATTTCTTGTAAATGAAATATAATTGGTCATCCGTGGACAAGGGGTTACGCTGTTCTCACACAGACCTCGCGGGCTGTGTGTTCAGCACCCCCCAGCTCTGCATGCGTGTGGTTTAACAGTGTCTGTGTGCGGTTTTTTTTTCTTGCAATTCAGTTTCCTCCCAAACACATGCAATAAGGCTAATTGGCCTCGCTACATTTCCCTCGTGTGTTGTGGCTGTGGGCGTATATATTTGTGAGCCATGCGAACGGCTGGCATCCCATCCAGAGTGTCCGCCGCCATATTCCCTATGCTTCCTGGATGGCTACGGACTCGCCATGACCCTGTACTGGATAACCAGTTACAGAAGATGGATGAGATGCGCCTGATCTGTGCAGTGTTTCTCTGGTCCGTAATAGCATGAGGCTTGTTTAGACAGTCATGAAAGCTGTTAATCGCCCAAGTGCCTTATGGGAAGGGTCAAGTGTGCCGGAGAGGGAACCGCTGCGGACGCTGAGCCGACGTTCAAGCTGAAGAGACGAAGAGAGGCTGCGTTTAAAGGGACAGACGAATCATGTTACTTGTATTTGCTGTATGAGAAGCCTTTTTGTGTTACAAACAAAAACACGGAGATGGACCGCTGGAGTGGAGCTGGATTTAAAGCGTGACTGCTGTTAGCCATCCACTTCCTTGCTGACACAGGCCCGCAGCCCTAATCAGCGGACAGGGGAAGAAAGCTGTACTGCTGTAATTCAGTTATAACATTCCTAACGTGATTAAACGTAGCGGCATTTGTAGGGGAGGCGCGTTAAAAAGAAACAAATTACAATCCAGTGTGCGGTGCGTGTAGCTGGGACTTGGACCGTTATGTTGGTATCCGCGGGAACTATTTATCTCCCTGTTTTTGTCTGTGTGCTCATTGATCTGTATAAACGGTTGTGTTACCATCCGGCCAGGCTGTGTTGCAGTGTGTAGCACTAATTTTATCGCTTCGCTGTCTGTATAGCTGGATGATTAACCTGAGTGTGAAGGTTAGGTGCCTTTCTCAAGGGTAGCTGTGTTGGGTTCCCACTGGGGCTTCAGCCAATAACCTTCACAATATTACTGCACACCTTCAACCACTCCGCCACCTGCTGGACATTGCCAGCAATACACTTTGTCCCGTACTCACACCCTTTTCCCAGAAGCCTTCGATGTGCCTGACGTGCATGAAGGATAGAGTCTGACCTGTGCCTCTGCATGAGGGTGTGTGTAGGTGGTTCTCTTCACCTTACCCACATGGGAAGGACACTCGAGTGTTGGCTGTCCTGCCACTCGACTATTCGGGTGTCTAATGAGCTTAATCCCCTAAAAATGTCCTTTAAAAAGTAAAAAAAACACAAAAAACAGCTGTGTTCAAAGCCAGGGTGTAAAAATCCAGGTTCTAGGTTCTCCCGTAATGATGAAACACATTTCATATTTAAAAGATCTCAGAAACTACAGACCTATTTTCTACACATAATGAGCTCTAACTCTGATGTAATTCATATGAAAGAGTGTGGCTTCATGGTGCACAGAGGTGCTGTGCTAAGGTAACATTCACATTAGCTGTCGATAAAGTGCGGGGAAAAAACCCCCAGAAAGCACTTAAAATTAGTGTGAAAGGTTACAGGTCAAAGTCATTTTCGAGAGTCAGGTGTAATTTTCTAATACAGGAAGCGTATTGATTAAATGGAAAGGAACGCTATTATTTTGTCCTGCTTAGCGATCATCACCGACCCTGTGCCGGATAAACGGCGAGAAGGTGGATGGGGGGGATTATGTTATCACAGGTTTGTTTCGGTACTCGGTTCAGAGCTGACTGCTGTGTCTTGATCAGCCGCTTCCTCTCTCCGCAACTCCCAGATGCATGCGACCAACACAGCAGAGGATACAAGAGTAGATTCGTTAATACATTCCACCCCCCCCCCCTCCCCCCCAAGGGCCACAGTAGATGACGTTAGCATCTCACCAGCTGAGATTACTGGCAAGTCTAACAGTTTGTGTACAAACAGTTTCTTTCAGATCATTATCTTTTGTTAATATTTGGTACAGTGCTAGCATTTGGGCAGTAATTGCAGAATATCCTCAGCTAGTTCTGGGTCAGAGTGTGACACGCTGGTCACCTAAAACTCTGTCGCAGTGCAACAGGCAGCTTTGGCAGGTGAGTTAAAGATGGAGGCGAGGAACCAGCACCTGGAACGAAGAGGGACGACGTGAAGCTGGGGATGAGCACGTTGATGATTCTTGATTATTTTCTTAGCTTGTTAGCATTAGCGTGATTCATCGTTGATTTATGTTGGCCTGTTAGCTCTACTGTGACTCATGGTTAATTTATGTTAGCCTGTTAGCATCACCGTGGTTCATGGTTGAGTTATGTTAGCCTGTTAGCATTAGCGTGATTCATCGTTAATTTATATTAGCCTGTTAGCATTACGGTGATTCATGGATAGTGTTTGTTAGCCTGTTAGCGTTACTGTCTGCCGTTCTAGCTCTGTTCACCAAGTGAGCGTCCCTGCCCATGGTTGCGGTGGCTTCTCTGAAGGAGGAGCGGCAGCATGATGCCACATGTTCGGTGGTCAGGGGTCATTGTTAGGCCCTACTTCTATTGAGCAAATGGAGACAGGCTTATTGCGGGTGTTATACTGATCAGCTGTACCTCAGCCCTTGTGGTAATCAAAATCAGCCTACCCTAATTAGTTTGGTATCTTGCATGGGTTTATATACTGTTTACTGGATGGATTTTGAGGGAGTTTGGGGCATGTGAGGTGCGTTATTTTTCTTTGTGTCTTATATTCGACTTATCCCTGCCATCCCACGACCGGTGTCCATCACTTGTGACAGACCTCTTCCACGCAACGTGCCATAATGCATCGCTCCTTCATCACGGAAGGGGCCCTGGAGCGGGGAAAGAGCGTGACGAGCCGTGACAGAATGCCGAAGTGCGATGTGCACCAGATGTAACAGACAGCCTGGCAGATACGGCCGTGGCGGAGTGAAATATCGATCTCTCCAGACTTCAGGCTATGTGACTCATCCGAGTGCCAGAAGTCTGGGTCTCCTTTTTCTAGTTAATATTGGACTTTGGGGAGAAATCTGGGAGTGGTGCATAGCTCGATGGGCTGGGGGCCCAGTTCAAATTCTGTGCTCAGCAGAGTGATTTCACCACTGGACCCCTGAGCAAGGCCCTTAAGCCCCGACTACTGCACAGTCTCACCCCCGCTCTCTCAATTGTCTGTCGCTTAGGATAAAAGCATCTTCTAAATATGTGAATTTATAAATTAATTCTATTTTTAGGTTGTTGTTCTGATTTGAAGTAACGTAGATAATCTACTTGGAGTTGAACCGGTCACATGTGAGCCCCAGAGATAAATTCGTAAATGGCAGCATTGTGATTTGATAGTTTCGCTAATGGCGTAGAGCGGTGTGTAAACATTAAGGAGCTTTACCCTGCATGCGGCGCTTCATAAATAGAATCCATTTGTAAGGCGAGCTTATGACCATCAGCGCAACTTTGGTTCTCACTGTCATCCAATCTGAAAGATGACGAGATTTTTCTTGGGATTCAGCTGCTGGCATCCCGTGAAATAAAAGCGTATCGTAGGTGGCCTTTGGCTCGTACTTGTTTTCCTACTTCGTCCAATCCCTATAAAATGCATTGTGGAGTGGAGGCTTGAACTGCTGTGATCCTTTCTGACTGGGTGGAGCCTGAGGCCTTGAGAATCAAGGCACCAGAGAGTTGCCTTATTGGACAGTGATGATTCCACAGAATTAGACGTAGCTGGAATTATCTAATCGCATTTTTTCCTTCTTACAGCGTGAGCTGTCTTCTTGCTGCTGGTCCTGGTCAGGGTCATGGGTGGCCTGGAATCTATCCCAGGTAGCACAGGGCAGAACCAAGACAGGATGCCCGTCCATCACAGGATATAAACACACACTACAAGCAATTCAGAGATGCCAGTTAGTCTAACGGGGAAAAAAAAACACATGACCCATGGAGAGCATGCAAACTCCACACACCCAAAATAGAGGGAGGATTGGAACCCATAACCCTGTATCTATGAATAAACAATGATGCTCACTGAACCACCTTTTTCATAAATCTCTGACATAATTGCAAAATAAAAACATGGTTCTTCCAGTAATGTTTTTCGTTGCAATTTGGTGTATTAGAAATGAATATAAAAATATATAATAAATTATATAACAATTATATCAGTAAAATAAATATAATTATATAATAACTATATAAATATGTTTTCAAAGTGTGCACAGTTTAGGGAATGAGTCACTGTAGACCCCTCCCTCTCTAAATACATGTGAAACATGCGTATATCACGGTGGAGGTTCGCTACCGTAACGTGGCCTGTGATGCTGTGACAAATCCCACAATGCAAAGCAAAAATGGTTCCCGGCATTCTGCTGTTGTAGTCGTTATAGGTGTATATGTGCCTGTGAACATTTTTTCTTGTATTACTTTTCTTCTTTAATCTACACGAAGAAGAAAAAACATAATAACAGGTTCTGCAAACAGTAATATCAAGGAAGATAGCAGCATGTATGCATTCAAACATTCTGCGAGGGTCTGCCTCAGCATTCAGACTGGGCGTCTGCGAGGGTCTGCCTCAGCATTCAGACTGGGCGTCTGCGAGGGTCTG